TTTTTTTTTGTTTTGTTTTTGTTGTTTTTTCTTTTTTTCTTTTTTAGACCTCCTTCCATCTTTCCATAAATGCTTCTGACCTTACAGCGCTAAAAAAGGTATAATTTAATCTCAATAACAAAATAACATTTCAGTTCTGTTAAAATATACATGGAAAACGTGTCAATATATATTAGGAAACAAACTAATTTGTACAAAAAGTACAGTATTACTCTTATTCTAACAATAATAATAATATAGTCAGAGCAAGGTTGATATGAAACCAAAATAAATCAAGAATTCTTCATACAAAGAAATCATTGAAATTCATCGAATTTCAATGTGATGAAAAAAAAAAGCAAATCAAATTAAAATGAAGAAATAACAAAAGAACTGAACCAACGAGCACATTCAAAGTTCTTAATTATTAAAACCATGTCAGCATTGCACATCTACCTAGACTATCATCTACTGGTGCCAGTGAATCTTTGCTCATTGTGAGCGTTTTTCTAACCACGTCTGACACTACTGGGAAAATAACACTACAGGTATTGGTACTTATTTCGCCGTATCCTTATAAAGTGTTAGAAAATAACCTTGCGAACCTTGTATACAAATGTATACTGAAGTCTAACTGTGTCTTAAGCTATCGATAATTTCTATATTCCCAAAAATAACTCATTAACCACACTTTCTGTTTTCCGTTCCACACGCCTTCACTGTTATTCCCTTCAAACTGCTTTGTTTTTCTAATGAGGTTAATCTGCTGCCGACTTTTGATGGGGATGAATCGATATCAAGAGCTATTACACCACTTTGACTCATGTATGGTTCACAGCAGAAGGCCCTTTGACTCTGACGTGACTCACTTCCATCTTTTACTGACAAAATCAACTTCCTTGATCACCATTCACGACTCCTTCTCCTTCTGCTAATCGTGTTTAAAAGCAATAAATAAGAAACGAAGGCAACGTTCATCTGTTGCGACAAAAAAAACATCTTCTGTTCCGGTAAAAGGAACTGTTTAAAATCCTTTAGTTCTTTGCTTTTCTCTTAAATTTTTTTTCCTTTGTTTTATTTGAAAAAATAAAATACCTGAAATGGCTTAAAATTTAAAAAAAAAAAAATTGCAGAAAAAAGGTGTCCTGGCTTTTGTAGAAAAAAAAAGAAGGAAAAAAGAACAACGTAAGCGAAACGAGGAGGGGGTTGGGTGGGTGAGGGCAACTTAAAGTGGAGGAGGGGGAGAGAGATCCTGGCCCGGTGTTACCGGGAGTGGTCCAAGCTGTATGTCTGTCTGCAGGAGGAGGATGAGAGAAGCAGGGTTCATGGTTGGGACGAGGCTGCCCTCCATCACTCCGGAGTCCTAACCGTCTTGTCAGACCCCCGAACAGGTTTATGGACTCTACGACCTCACTCTCACTTGTTAATGAGCAACCCGCCCACCCAGCGGAGCTTGCAGGCAAACCACCGCCTGAGGGGACAAAAGTATTCGTAATGGAACTGCTCAAATTCGGGGGTCTGGCGGATATCAGTTAAAAATGCAATGTCAAGGTCTGACTCGGTGAGGATGATGAGGAGGAGGAGCAACACAAAGAGGAGTCCAATGGTCACAAGGAGCAAACGGAGGACACTTAAGACAAACTTATTCACCTGTTCCACCTCGCTGAGGGCTGAGTCCCCCCCTGCGCCCTCCTGTGCAGATCTACTGTCCGCACCAAAATCACCCCGTTCCCCATGCATAGGGGTGCTCGCTTCCGACTCCTTTTCCTCCTCAATGCTGCAGGGCGCTCCATTGATTTGGCGTGATACGGCTAGTTCCATGCTGTGCTCAGCCACCGGCGTGGGCAGGACGCTGTCAGAGGGGCTGTAGGCCTCGTCAGAGATGACTGCCATCCCCTCGCTGGTATCTGCGACCTGGCTCCGGGAGCGTGGTATAAAGGATTCCCCGTGGGACACTGAACGCACCGGTGTAGAGTGGGCACTGTCACGCAAGGACTCCAGACCTGCAGAGGAGTTCAAAGAGGAAATAAAACAAGGGAATCACATGAAGTAGGAAATATTACACACATTTTAGACATAAAGAACTTATATAAACTTGGCTATAAAGGGGCTTTATGATAGTGGCACAATCGTGAATAATTTTGAGACTATTTTATACAAATTTCCAAACCTTGATTGGTCTTTTTAACTGAAATTAGTGGAAACCACAGCACAGAGACAAGACTCCCCAGAGTGATATCTGTTGGATGCGGCTGATGCTTGTAAATCCTATTTTAGTTTTATTAGATCTGAGCGCTACATTTGACACTGTGACTCACTACATTTTACTGAATGGTCTCCAACATTAGGTTGGCATCTCTGGTACAGTCAGTTTTAAGGTGGTTTTATTCCTATTTATAGGATAACTCTTTTAGTGTTGAAATTGGCAAATCACAGTCATCCTTAATGAAAATGACCTGTGGAGTTCCTCAGGGATCTGTCCTCGGCCCTCTCCTGTTTTTTCTTTCTCTACATGTTATCCCTGAAATAGATCATCCATAGTTTTCACATCTATCTTCTTCCTCACATTTGTTTTAATTTAACTGTTTTTTGAATAATAATTTTCTTTATTCCTCACCTTTAACCTCATTGTGCTGTGAGTATTCCTACACCTAATATGTTTTAACTTTTAACTCCTCTTAAATGTTTTAATTACTTTTTCTTCACTTGTTCTTGTTGTTCTTCTTCTTCTTGCTCTTGTTAATATTAAAGTAAGCGGTCAGTTATACTTTCCATCTAATGAGGCACTCACACACACCCTTTACTGTAGTTCTGGTACTGTTGAAAGGTTTCTGTTTGACCAGCAGAGGTCTGTTACGACATGCAGACACACAGGCTCCACTTTGAGAGCTGAAATTTGATCACGCTTTCTCCAAAGTCAAGCAGTTAATGTGAATCGTTTTAGAGTGTCTGTATTGTCCCAGGGGGAGATGTGTTTTCAAAGTCTGTCTACATAAACTATAGCAATAACCATGGCCAACATATCATATGGATCCTCCTCTCCACCCAGTGTGCATTAACACAAATGAGCACTAATAAAGTTTGTTTGTTCTGCTCTTTGAAATTCCAATATTGCTAACATACTCATTTTGAATCCAATCCAAATGTAATGTATATATCCTTCAACAACAAAGCAAACAACCCACACGGGCTCTTACACAAAGAGGGTTGGAGAGTGAAGGGTATCAACCCAACAGCAGGAGCGGTATCTTCTCATTTCAGTGACAAGGCCCAGAAGGACCACTGGCAGAGCAATACAAAATGAACTCAAAGCAGGCTCCTCATGCATGTTTCCAGACCAGAATCAGACTCTATGAGGGTGGTATGAGGTCCAGACCTCCTTTAGTGGCACCTGCTGTCTCTTTTATTTGCACCAAAGCAGAATTTAAAATGGTTTTTGTTTCCTAACTGGACAGACTGATATCCCCGAAGTTTAACTGACTTTGTGTTATACTGATCGACTATGGTTTTCTACTAACGATCGACTCCTACTGTGTGTTTATTATTTTCTTTCAGCCCACCCTTTCTGGGTCAAAATCACTAATCTGCTACACATTTAATGTTCCCACGGTTGAGTTTTTTCTTTTCTTGTTTTGATTTCATTTCAATTCTACTCATATTGAGGTTCAACTCTGATTTTGAATTTTGGTTCTTATCTGCGTAAGTTTTTCTGTTATTCTAGTGATATTTTTCTTTTTTTGTGAAATCATTTTATTTCTTTCAGTTCTTGTCTTGATTTAATTATTATCCCAGTATCCCCAGCGTATCTGTTTTTTCACTTGTTATTTATGGTTTCCTCCTGTGTTCTGCCCTCACCTGTGTCCTGTGGTTCATTCATATGCTGTGCGTGCTTCCCCTTTGCTTGCTGTGCTGTTTCTTTGGATTAAGTTTTACTTTTATTTACCTTGCTTGTGTGTGAGCCATACACTCGCTCCTCACAATTATCCCTGACAAAATGAATCTTTATGGAATACATGACCTTTTTTTTTTTTCCGGAAAGACAGTTATGCATTTATTTACACAAATGCCTTGTTTAAAAAGAGAATGTAAATATTGAAAGGAAATAAAAAAAAGAGAGGAATGTCATGCAAAACACACTGGAATCAATCAAGTGACATTACATTTACAGTATGTGCCCTTGCTATTACAGTATTAGAAGACCCCAAAACAAACGTCTCTGACCAGAAGTACCATAAGGCAGAGCTGCTACTTGACTAAAAACACTATCATCCCATAGTGCTACAAGCAACTATTGAACAGAGGTTCAAAGACGAGCCAGTTATACAGTACTGCAGCTGAACTGGTCATAGTACAGTACAAGAGAGGCACAGTATAGATGTCAGTGAAGATGAGCTGTTGAGATCTTTGCTGACGTAATCACATTCCCCACAGTGTCAAAGCAGCAACATTACACCTTTACTATAAAGAGAAGGGATTAAAAATCAGCTTTTGATGAGGAAGCACAACATGAAAAGGACCTTTTAAAAACTGTAAGAAAGTAGGGCAGATTATGCCCGGCACTTAAGCCTCTGCGGACATGAAACTTAAGTCAAGTGAAAAGAAAGCAGCATAAAGGCTGTGTGGATGTCAGCGGCTATCTTTACTCAGAGTAGATCTGCCTCAGCTTATCCTGTGTTCTGCTTACAGCAGCGAGCCAGTGAGTAGAAAATGTGTTTGCCATTTGTATCTGCCATATTTAGAGTTCTAAATTTTGAACACTCCAGCATAATAAAACTTTTACAGAAACCACACACACCACATTATCGTGCTGTACTCTTGAAATATGACAATAGCAACTTAAATTTGCCTGTCCAATAAGCTGGAAGCGCAGAAGACCACAGGAATTGTATCACTTTCACCTCGCTCAGGAGGCAGAGACTAATTTAGAATAGAGAACCGGCCAGTCCATGTAAAGCACACTCCTGGCTGGTTCTGTGGTGAGTTTACCTGGAGGATAGCTGGGCTGAACGGAAGGTAGCGAAGCGCCAGAAAGAGGGGTAATCTTGTCAGACCCCTGCGGCCCAGTTAGGGCAGGGTAGAGGGGCAGGACGCCCAGGGCCTTCCCCAGCAGTCGAGGCCCGAGGCTCAGCACACGAACTTTGACATCCCGGTAGCAATGATTGATCATACGCAGGTGGACATTCACCCGTGTGGTGATGCGGATCAGACACTTCACCATGGCTGCAGCGTGCGCGTGCTTATCCTGTCCTTATGGTCCCTTTCCAGAGTCCAGGCCACAGGGTGTGTTTGTGTTAGGCCGAAGAGTTCTGCTTTAGTTGCGGAGGTGAAAGAGTGGGTTCCTACACCAGTACTACAATCACTAGCATTGGCCTGGCCTGGTTTGGCCCCACCCAACCCAGTGACATAAATGGAGTAAAAGACCCAGGTTATTTTCAGCTGGCGTATTAATACCGCTGCAAGTCACCCAGTCAGCACACAGACTGGTGAGGAGGGGTGCAGGGAGCTTTCTTCAACCCACAGCAAAAGACCCTCTAAGACGGTACACCTGCTTCTGACCTCTGAGTCCACTGAGTGGTGGTATGTACTTGAAAGCCAGGCAGGCAGACCAGGTCTAACCCTAACCCACAAAAGGGGTGTACACCTGCTGTGTCCATCTCAGATAACAGAAACACTCAAGCCACCTGTTCAGGGCCAGCAGGCCTGCAGGTGGGCTGAATAAGTGACTTTAGTTGCCACAGTGTTGGCACAACACGCGGTCAAACATACACACATCTCCAAAATGCTGCACTGAAGTGAGGCACGCTGACGGACGGACACACACCTGCAGCATGTCCCACCAGCATGGACCGCTCCAAACCGCTCTAGTCATGTGCTTGTGTGTACAAGCGTTTTTTTTTTCTCAAGAAGAGGAGGATCTCACACATAAGATCGAGATTAGATCTTCATATTGACGATTTCAATTTTTGCGTGTCAGTTATTCAAGTGAACAGCCTTTGGCACTTGGTACGGTAATAGTGAGGAACTCAGTTCTTACCCTCCATGATAGATATGTGCACAGCCCTCCGACGCGTGCGCGGTACGCTGCTGAGCCGCGGCCCGTGGGTGATGGATGGACAACTTCTGCTAGGCACGAGGCCAGCCCTGCAGAGACAAACACAGACAGGAATGCGTAAACATCTGAGCTGTGAGTGAAGGTACTGTGGCCAGTAGGCGCTGCTGATATAAAGACATCTACAGTAGCTTGGTTCCTAAGAAAATGGAGGAAATTAAAGAAAATTGTGATCAAACATTCTGACCTCTCCTGAGTTCATAACTCTACCTGTGTATTTCTGGAGGTTCGCGTTTGATTTTGGCACTCTGCTCCATCACCTCTTTTGCCACTCGCCCACTGTTATAAAGCACAGAGACGATGCTCAGGATGAGTTCCACATACACGCACACTCACACGCACAAAACCACTCACCCACCACGGTCTCACCCAATGCTATGAAAGCTATAACTGCAGTGGATGAGTATAGTAGATGAGCATCATGATTGATTTTGTCCTGGTGAATTCAGCAGTTTGTAACTGAATTACACCCAGTAAGACAAATGCACACACAGACTTCTTGGCAAAAAATATAAAAACAATGATCATGGTTTGCCCTTTAAAAGTGAACTCCACATTTAACTGACTCAAGTGTTTTCGCCATCTTGTCACTGAGAAACTGAGGTCAATCTAAAAGTAGCCATGCTTTTAAGCATACACACTCCTTTGTTTTCTAAATGGGATTATAATTTACACAATGAACATGATGTTGTATTAACCAAGACTTAAAACCAGTGATTAAGACAATAAATGCATTATGAAAATGTTTATAAAGGTCATAAATTAAGAAGCAGGCTTTTCTGTAAACTCAATACTTTTTGTTGTTTTTTTGCAACTAGAGGAGTGTCATGCTTTCTGGTCATGAGAAAAAAATTGAAATGCCATTTTAAAGGCACTTCCTCATTGGCTTTCCTTTGCAGACCCAGAAGTTCTCTATGACTGCTTTGTCACATTCCTTCAGCTGTATTTATGCAGACAGGTTTAAGTTTATCTTCTTAGAGTTTAAGATTTTCTACTATGGCCAAAACGCTTCCTTATCGCTGGTGTAAGGAGCTTTACTAATAACTTTTCAAAAGAAGATTTAAACAACAATGTTTGCAAAAAGAGACAAATTTTAAATGTAATTTTTCATTACAAACTAAAGAGTCAGAAATCTTAAATCGATATCTGAAAACCAGTATAAACAAAAATACAAGAATAATAATGAGATTAATGTAGACAGGAGTAATAAACTAGACTCTTTGGCCACTTAATTAGGTACACCTGTTCAACTGTTCAAACGCAAATATCTAAATTCACTGCATGTAGGCATGCAGGCATGGTCAAGACTGAGCATAGGAATGGGAAAGAAAGGGGATTTAAGTGACTTTGAATCCTATTGGTGCTAGACGGGCTGATCTACTGGGATTTTCCCACACAACCATCTCTAGGGTTTACAGAGAATGGATTAAAAGAGAGAAAATACCCAGTGAGCATCAGCTCTCCAGTGAAAAAAAGTCCTGTTGATGTCAGGGGACAGTGGCCAGACTGCTTCGAGCCAATAGGAAGGCAACAGTAGCTCAAATAACCACTCGTTACAAGCAAAGTATAAAAAAAAAGAGCATCTCTGAATGCACATCACAATGTTGAAGCAGATGGGTACAGCAGCAGAAAAAACACACAGGGGGCCACTCCTGTCAGCTAATAACAGGAAACTGAGGCTACAGTTTGGACAGGCTCAGAACAGACGACTGGAAAAACATTGCCTGGTCTGATCAGTCTCAATGTATCATGTGACATTTAGCAGATAGATTCAGAATTTGGTGTAAACAACATGAAAATATTGATTCATCCTGCCGTGTATCAATGGCGACAGTGGTGTAATGTTGTGGGGGATATTTATTTTAAGCCGAGTGGTACTTATTAAGTATCATTTAAACTGTATTTCCAATGTTTCCAGCACCTTATTGAATCTGCCATGAAGATTTAAAACAGAAACAAAGGGGAATCAAACCCGCTACTAGCACAGTGTACCTAATAAAGTGGCTGGCAAGTATCTAAATATTACGTAATTTTAATGTCGTAATATAGATTTAAAACAGATCCAAAGAAAAAAGCGTGTCATGACATGAGTCCCCTTCATTTCCCCCTCTGTGTCCTCTGTCTTGGTAGGTGTCAGTCCTTTCCTCCAGGCAAAGGTACCCTGACTTTAAAGCACAGAAGGCCAGGAGGGCCAAGTCTTCTGGGAACACTTCTCTTCACTCCAGCTGGGGGTTTTCTGCAGTGTCCTCCCCTCCCTGTCATCAGTCATATTGCCTTGTCGTGTACTCTACCTGTAGCGGAAACGGCTGCCCTTGAAGAATAGGTTGCTGCTGGACACAGTGCGAACCTGACTTGACTTCTCAAGCCTGATGGAAAAAGGAAAAGAAGAGAAAAACAAAACAAAAAAGTAAAGAAGTATTCAATCAAAGACAGCAAGAAGGAAAGTAATGACAATATCCCATATATTCTAGGGAGAATAGGACCCTAATCCGATCACACAGTTAAACCCCGAATGCCTGTGATCTTTTGTTTTCTGAATCTCAGAACAAACGAGAAAGTAGGATCAAATATTATTTTATTAAATTATGCATCTCATCTCTTTGCACTTTGGGCAGTGCATCCTCAACACGGCTCCATACAGGACTCAATGTTTATATTGTCATACTAAGTGAGACATGAATATTTAATATTTCATGTTGCTTTCTAGGGATATTTTTGCTTCTATCGTGTGTCCTCTTTTGCTCCCACAGACTTCCAAGAACAGTAAGATTTTAATAAATGGAAGGCTGATAAGAGATTAACAGTCTGCCACTTCAGGGAGTCATTGAAAGGGTCACGCTGGGAGCCTCTGAGCTCACACACTGAGCTTTTTTGGGGGGGGAAGGGGGGTTCTGTTAACCATGATTCCTGGGCTGCAGAGAGCAGAAGAGACTCGCACAGTTACTCATGGCTGAGACAGGGGAACCATATCTCAGAAGGAGCACGAAAGTGCTTGTGGTCTCGTGCCAGTGCACAGTCGTTCACTAAAGGTCAGCAGCAGCTCACACCTCATTTTCTCGCTGACAAACAACCAGGAAGGGAAGTGCTCTGAGGATACTGAGGTACCATAATGCTACCCTGCCTGTCAGAGCAACTACATCATGATGAAAGGTTGAAAAGAACAATTAAATGACTTACTTATAGAAAGCTTGATTCTCCACTCCACACTTCCAAAGGTGCTTGCATGCCTCCGGTGTGGGTGCAAAGTATGTCAAGATGATCTTTTTGTCCTGCACGTTGAAAATAAGTGGGCGTGCAGGACAATATAACAAATTCTGATGGAAACTTTCTGCAGACATCAAAACATGCTTTTTCCAACAATTCATGCTCTCACCTCCTTCTGATTTGCATATATGTGAAAAGTCTTGCCTTCAAACTTGAGTTTGGTCACCTCGTTCCTGTCCGAAAGACAATGCAGCACAAAGCCACAGCCTCTTTAAATATTCATTATAGTTCGCATAAACAGTCACAGATATGTTTTGGATGCCAAAATAAATAAAGTGTTAATATTCCCTGCAGACAGGGAATGGAGAGTAAGGGAAATCTGAGTGCTGCTGATGGCAAGCAAACAAAGCCATTAGCCTAAATGCTGCAAACATATTACGTAATAAGTCTGGCTGCATAATCATGACGGTAACCTCTTGACCTAAAAGCATGCAGGTAAAGGTTTAACAGAAATGCACCATGCTGTAGACTTTCATTTAACCAATGAAGCATTTTCCTGATTTCAATTAAGCTCAAATCAACTGCAAGTACAAGCTCCTAGTATCTTTTCTTGATCTAGTTTGCAGTTTAGCTGCTGTAATTAGCCATCTGTGTTCATGCGAGCCCCCGGCTCGTGTCACAGGTAGAGGCAGATGGAGTCGCTCTGTTGACTGTGACTGTACATCCAGCTGCTGTGCACACGCTGTTTCATGTAGATTACTCTGCATAAAAAGCATGTATGTCAAATAAGATTAACGAAAGGCCCGCAGTAAAAATGTTTGTCTTCTCACAGAGTCTGCTGTGAGTTGAGTACTCGAGGAGTGCGCTGCGATTGGCTCACATGAGAAAATGTTTCACATTTGGCTCACCATTTGAGAAAATGAACTCTCTTGTTTCCCTGAAGCACCACAAAGCCGAACGGCGTGAAGGCGAGAAAAGCAGGGTTCCCAGATACATCCTGAAGCACACAAAACAATTTCAAAATAAAACTTAATGAGATAACACCGAAGAGGATCCCAAAGGAATATTTCAAGTCCATTCAAGATGGACAGAAAAGCATGGACAGAGCAAAATAGTAATTTTTAAAAATGCCACCCAACCTTGCATGGATGTGGATCAACACCATACGTCTCCAGCATCTGAGCTTTCTGTAGGAAATTTCGCTCTGATGTTTCAGGTTTCTGTCCGCTAAGAGAGATTTTCTGTGTCAGTCCACCACAAACATTAAAAATTAAATATCGAGATGTCTCAATTTGAAAAGGCTTGGAAGAGAGGAACGAACAAATACATTTGCAATAATGAGATCTACTTGTTTAGTGAGACTAAAAGAGGTAAAGATGAATAGCGCCCAAACAGATCAAATATGAACACAAGATCAATTGAAGCAAATAAACTATAGGATGACAAAAAACAAAAAGAAACACTTATTATTGATGTCAGCTTCTTTCTGGCTGTCACATTAACCTAAGTATTCAGGGCAGCTCTGTGCTTACATGGTATTAAGTAAAAGACACACCACTAGTGGGCAGCAGTGTCTCATACGGTTTGTCCTCTCACAGCATCAAAAGTAGACTTTTGCAATTCTATCTCTACTGTGACTCAGATTATTTCTTTAAACTGATTTTTATTTTTTTAATTTTTGTTTTACTTGCCCCCTATTTGTTCCAGACACCTTTAACTATTAAACAACCTCAAAATAATGCAAGATAACATGGTGGCTCATTCATTCATTTTTAAAAATGATGCAGATGAATGAATGAAATGCTTAATCAGCTCAGCAGCTGTCTCCAAAGTGTTTTTTCCTGTGCCTCTTCATGAACCCGCTCCATCAGATCACTTTCACTGCTGCTTATCAGGTTAATGCTGTGGCTAGGACCCGTCGCTAATAACTGCTCAAATAAAGGGCAAGCTATAGTCTAAGTGCTTTTCTCCGCTATCTGCTCAAATAACAGATGATAATCTGTCTATCCAGCCCAGTGCAAACCATTGATACCTCATCAAGCCAGTCAATTACATAAATGTCAAAGCAAGTCTAGTGTTTCTTTTGGCTGAGCGATTGCAGGTTATATATTTTTTGGCTCTTACATCAGCTCCGTCTTGTGTATGTCCGCAATCCTTCGCTCCAACTTCTCCGAATGTTTAGGAAAGAACTGGAACTTGGAGCTATAACCTTCAGGATGCTTCCCAGGGTCGTAATCACCGATCTCAGCTGGAGGGGGAATAACAAAATAAAAAAGATTTACATTTTAAACATGTCCACAGACATTCATATCAGATAGACGTTAAATTTAAATGCCAGGGGAGTCGGGCTAAACATGGCCAGGTTTGTTTGTGGTTCTTGCCGTTTTGTTCTCCCTTAGAT